TTGTCTCTGTCATTTATCCCATGGCCTCATAGTCCTTCATTATCCCCATGGCGGCCTCATTGTCTCTTCATTAATCCCCATGGCCTCATTGTCTCTTCATTATCCCCATGGCCTCATTGTCCTCTCCATTATCCCCATGGCCCTCATTGTCTCTTCACATTATCCCCCGATGGCCTCATTGTCTCTTCATTATCCCCATGGCCTCATTGTCTCTTTCATTATCCCCATGGCCTCCCATTGTGCCTCGCTTCATTATCCCCAGCAGCCCTATGGCCTCATTGTCTCTTCATTATCCCAGTACTATCCCTGGCCTCATTGTCTCTTCATTATCCCCATGGCCTCATTGTCTCTTCATTATCCCCATGGCCTCATTGTCTCTTCATTATCCCCATGGCCTCATTGTCTCTTTATTTTCCCCATGGCCTCATTGTCTCTTCATTATCCCCATGGCCTCATTGTCTCTTCATTATCCCCAGTACCTCATTGTCTCTTCATTATCCCCACGGCCTCATTGTCTCTTCATTATCCCCATGGCCTCATTGTCTCTTCATTATCCCCATGGCCTCATTGTCTCTTCATCATCCCGATGGACTCATTGTCTCTTCATCATCCCCATGGCCTCATTGTCTCTTCATTATCTCCATGTCCTCATTGTCTCTTCATTATCCCATGGCCTCATTGTCTCTTCATTATCCCCATGGCCTCATTGTCTCTTCATTATCCCCACGGCCTCATTGTCTCTTCATTATCCCCATGGCCTCATTGTCTCTTCATTATCCCCATGGCCTCATTGTCTCTTCATCATCCCGATGGCCTCATTGTCTCTTCATCATCCCCATGGCCTCATTGTCTCTTCATTATCTCCATGTCCTCATTGTCTCTTCATTATCCCCATGGCCTCATTGTCTCTTCATTATCCCCATGGCCTCATTGTCTCTTCATTATCCCCACGGCCTCATTGTCTCTTCATTATCCCCATGGCCTCATTGTCTCTTCATTATCCCCATGGCCTCATTGTCTCTTCATCATCCCGATGGCCTCATTGTCTCTTCATCATCCCCATGGCCTCATTGTCTCTTCATTATCTCCATGTCCTCATTGTCTCTTCATTATCCCCATGGCCTCATTGTCTCTTCATTATCCCCATGGCCTCATTGTCTCTTAATTATCCCCATGGCCTCATTGTCTCTTCATTATCCCCATGGCCTCATTGTCTCTTCATTATCCCCATGGCCTCATTGTCTCTTCATTATCCCCACGGCCTCATTGTCTCTTCATTATCCCCATGGCCTCATTGTCTCTTCATTATCCCCATGGCCTCATTGTCTCTTCATCATCCCGATGGCCTCATTGTCTCTTCATCATCCCCATGGCCTCATTGTCTCTTCATTATCTCCATGTCCTCATTGTCTCTTCATTATCCCCATGGCCTCATTGTCTCTTCATTATCCCCATGGCCTCATTGTCTCTTAATTATCCCCACGGCCTCATTGTCTCTTCATTATCCCCATGGCCTCATTGTCTCTTCATTATCCCCATGGCCTCATTGTCTCTTCATCATCCCCATGGCCTCATTGTCTCTTCATCATCGCCATGGCCTCATTGTCTCTTCATTATCCCCATGGCCTCATTGTCTCTTCATTATCCCCATTGCCTCATTGTCTCTTCATTATCCCCATGGCCTCATTGTCTCTTCATTATCCCCATGGCCTCATTGTCTCTTCATTATCCCCACGGCCTCATTGTCTCTTCATTATCCCCATGGCCTCATTGTCTCTTCATTATCCCCATGGCCTCATTGTCTCTTCATCATCCCGATGGCCTCATTGTTCTTCGTCATCCCCATGGCCTCATTGTCTCTTCATCATCCCCATGGCCTCATTGTCTCTTCATGATCCCGCGTGTCTGCCCGTTTTCAGTGCTTTCTTGTGTCTGTCCTCAAAGTCCCTCCTCCCACCATGCATCCCATCAGAATCACATCAACAGTTGCTCCTTTACTATTTTCGGTTGCTTCCATATCCTCCACCCGCATGGCCCCTGTGTCCCTGTCCCAGTCCAGAACTTTCGCCTCTTTCAATCAAAACTTCACCTTTTCCTCACTTCCCCCCTCTTCCTCCTCCCCCCTCTCATCCGCCTCCCCCAATCAGGTTGTGAGCTACGACTTCAAGAAGTTCCGTTTCTCCCAGATGCATCGCGGGGCCCTGCGCTTCCCCTCGCACCGCTTTTCCTTCCTCGGGTCCCCCATAGCCGAGGCAGCTCGTGAGTCCGCGGCCCGGGGGGAGGCGCGCACGCTAGCAGCATTCGAGAAGGAGCCGTACGGGTGCGGGGGCGCGCTGGGGGAGAAGCGGCGGTTGCGGGACCCGTTTGTGCGCGTGGTGCCGTATCCTGCTGGGTGCGGGGAGATAGCGGCCCTGTTTACTACATGCTCCTCGCAGCTGTTTGCGGGGAGGCTGCCGTGGGGCGTGGTGGGGCAGGGCAAGTACAGGAGAGGGTTCTCGGGGTGATGGCGGGGAGAGACGAGGGTAGGAGGGAGGTGGGGAGGGAGATTGAGAGCGGTGGGTAGAAGGGGTTGGTTGGAAGGAGGGTGGAGGGGAGAGTATCGGATGATGCCGTCTGTTTGTACACAATAGTGGCTGTAGTTGGCTGTTGCACCAAGGGTGATGAGAGACTGAATCATACCGTAACATTTTATGGTCTCGTTTGAAATCATTCTTGTCTGCGTGCCCACACTTTATTCTGGTACCGGTATGTATGGCCTCCAACTACAATAACGCCTGCTAGGGTTCTCTCAATACCGTGATTACGCTTGTAACAATATATCCATGATAGGATAGGAATACCACAGCATTGAAATCGACCGACCAGTCAACACAATGCTCATGGCTCCAGTCCAGTCCAGCCTTGCGTCATCCTCGGATTGTGTACGCCATGGGGTCACAAATGACTTGAGTCAGACCCACCCCAGTATACCGCCTTGCATTGCCTTGCCACACCCCACGCACATTCAACTCCTCTCACTCTCTGCGTTCAACTTCACACTAGCCAACCCCTCTCATTCCGACCATCCTCTGTGCGCCCCCTGTCAAGCACACGCCACACCACCACCCTCCTTATCTCCCGCCTCCTCACTCCTGTCGCCCTCCGCCCCCTAGCCTCTCACCCCCCTTTTCACTCCCCTCCTCACCCCCCTCGCCCCCTTCACTCCCCTCCTGCCCATTCTGCCCCTCACCCCCCTCGCCCCCTGGCAGCCCCTCGGCCTCTGTGACGGCGCGCCTGGCCTCATCCAGCAGGCGCCGTGTCTCCAGCAGCGACGCCATGGCGCGGTTGTCCCGCCCCGCCACTGCTGCCAGCGCCTGCGCTGCTTGCTCCGCCTCCGCCATCAGCACACTGGGTGGTTGGAGGGAGAGCAATTCAGCGGAGGGGGGAACGGGAGTGTGGCTTTGAGGTGCCTCGGAAACAGATGCCCTGCTGCCGCTGCCAGCGCCTGCGCTGCATGCTCTGTCTCCGCCATCAGCACTCTGATACAGGGGGTACACGGGGGGGGGAGGGGGAGGGGAAGGGGTGGGAATGTGTCTTAGCGGCACCTCAAGAGCAGACGCCCTGCCATTGCTGCCAGTGCCAGCACCGCCCCCGCCAATGGCACACTGGCGGAGGTAGTGGGGGGGGGAAAGCGTGGGAGGGGAGTTTGGTTTAAAGGCGCCTCAAGAGCAGACGCCCAGCCATCGGTGCCAGCCATTGCACTGCCTGCTCTGCTTCCGTCTTTGGCACTCTGGGGGGATGCGGGGGGGGAGGGGGGGTGGGGTAGGGAGGCGCGGGTGGGGTTGGAGTGTCAGAGATCAGAGCGGCAAAGGAGGGAAACAGAGGTGAGATTAGATCTGAGGAGAGGGGACTGGAATCGTGGGGTGAGGTGGGTGCGGATCGATGCTTGTGCGAGCCGCTGAGGGGAAAGGAAACCTCACATAGCAGTGTGAGCAGTTAAGCTCACAGTGCAATGCAGCATGCACCAATCTCTCACCGTGCTCTCTCTGCCAGTTGCTTGCGCCTGCGCGCCACCATGTGCCGTGTCATGCTCTGCTGTGCGTCCAGCGCAGGCACGGATGCAGACGCAGATGCAGAAGCGCCCATGCTGTCCCACACACCCGCTTCGCCCATGCCAATACCCTCCTCTCTCACACTGCTGCTCCCAATGTTCCTGCTGCTGCTGCTGCTGCTGCTGCTGTCGCTGGTGCCCCCCCCACCAAATGTCAAGTTCCCACCTCCACCGCCCTTTCCATTGTCACTGGCCCCCCCAACTCTATCCCTCTCGCCCTCCCTCAGCGCCTCCTGCCACGGCATCTCCCTGCCAGCACGCCCCTCTGCTCCCCCCCACGCACTCCTCCCATTCAACCCCTCCCCCATCCCTTCCCCTTTCCCTTTCCCCATCCCCTCCCCCAGTTCCACTCCCCCCCTTAGCACCACACCGTCCCACCCACCACCACTCACCCACCCCTGTCCCATTCCCCCACCTCCCCCTCCCTCCCCCCTTGTCTCTCTGCAGAGTCCCCCTTGCCCCCCATCGCATCTGTCGGTGTGCTCGGAGCAACCTCACCAGTACTCACCACCCCTCCTTGTCTCTGTCTGCTCCACTCCTCCTCCTCCTCCAACTTTCCCTCCTCTCTCCACCCCTCCTCTCTTCTCCCCTCTCTTCTCTCCTCACTTCTCCCCTCCTCCATCCTCTCGTCCTCCCCTTCTTCCCCGCCTATCCCACCCTGCCCCCCCCCTTCTCTTCGCTTCACGATCACAACCCGCTTGAAAGGCGTCACGCCTCCTCCCCGCCCTCCCTCCTGATCCTCACCCTCCTCCCCCTTTCCTCCCCTTCCTCCCCCCTCCTCCGCCCCCCGCAGCCCTTGCCCGTCCGTGCCTCCCTCGCCCTCCCCCCTCTGCTCTTCAGCTGCCATAACCAGCTCCACAAACGCCTCGTCTGGGTTTGGAATCACCACCACTGCTGCCGCTGCTGTTGATGCTTTTGCTGCCTTTGCAACAGTGTTCCTGCTGGGCGCTGCTGAAGCACCATCTCCAGAACCAGGCGCCGAAACAGACGATGATGCAACAGCAGCAGCAGAAGAAGAATCAAGAGCCCCCTCTAGAGAAGTGTCAAGAGTACTAGCTGAGCCGTCCTCTGCTGCGTCCTTCTCGCTGCTCTTCCTCCGGCCTGCTCTCCCCTCCCCTGTGCCTGAGTCTCTTGTTCTTTCTGCCCTCTTGCTCCTGCTCCCAGCAGGGCTCTTGCCAGGCCGCACCAGGCGAATAGCAGAGGCCACTCGACTGCGATACTCCTGCAGACACACACACACATGCACACACACACACACACACACACGCACACACACACACACACGCACACACACACACGCACACACACGCACACACACACACGCACACACACACGCACACACACACGCACACCCACACACACACGCACACACACATGCACACACACGCACACACATGCACACACACACGCACACACGCACGCACACACACACGCACACACACACGCACACACACACGCACACACACACGCACACACACACGCACACACAGACGCACACACACACGCACACACACACGCGCACACACACGCACTCACACACACACGCACTCTCACACACACGCACTCACACACTCTCACACACATGCACTCACACACACACACGCACTCACAAACACAACGCACTCACACACACACGCACTCACACACTCACACACACACATGCACTCACACACACACACGCACTCACAAACACACACGCACTCACACACACACGCACTCACACACACTCACACACACACATGCACTCACTTGCACGAGCGCGCGTGCGCACAAACACACACACAGAGACGCGCACACGCACGCACACACACAGCACAAACGAGAAGTTCAAACGGCATAACAATCAATTCCTCCTGAAACGATTTCACTTGAAACGAATCCTCTCGAGGCCAATGACAAACAAACCCAGTGGCAGCACCTCTCCTCCCTAAACCCCCCGCATGCCTGAACTCAGCATGCATCCCACCCACCCACTACCTACCGGGTCTGCCCACTTGGCTTTGATGGCGTCGCTGATTCGCTTCCTGTGCTCCTCACTATGCTGCGCTCTCCCCATCCTCTCGCCCTTCTTCCCACTCCTCCTCCTCCTCCTCCTCCTCTTCTCCCTACCCTCCCCATCACCCCCGCCCAAACCACCCCCCTCCCCTCCATCCCCTTCCCAACTCCCCTTGCCGTTCTCGTCCCCATCCCCGTCCCCCTCCCCCTCTCCTCCCCCTCCCCCCTTCCCCCTCCTCCTCCGCCCCCGCGCATCCATCTCATCAGCGTACACCACCCGCCCATTCCGGCAGCGCACCAGAGCCCTCTCCCCCGCCCCGCCCTCCCCTGCAGCGCGCGCCACCTCCCCCCGCCACGCGCGCTGCAACGCGGCCACCAGCGCCAGCTGCTCGTGCCGCCGCTGCCAGTTGGCGCGCAGCTTTGCCGCGATCAGAGCGCGCGTTTGCACACTGCCGGTGTGGGGGGGTGGGGGGGAGCGGGGGTTTTGTGGGGTTGAGGTCGGGCAGCTGGGTTAGCGGGTTAGAGGGATTGCGGGGTAGCGGGCTGGCAGGCTGACGGACCAGAGGGCTGGCACTGGCAGGTTAGCAGGTTGGCGGGCTAGGACTGGTAGGATGGCGGGGTGGCGAGCTGACGGGCTGGCGGGCTGGTGGGCTGGCGGGCTGGCGAACTTGCAGGTTAGCAGGCTGGCCGACTGGCGGGGAGCCGCTGCCAGTTGGTGCATAGCTTGGCTGGGCCCGCATTTGCACACTGGTGCAAGCGGGGGAGGAGAATAATGGGGGGGGGGAGGGGGGGAGCTGGGAGAGAGGTGCAGGATATGCTGCGGCGAGAGGGAGGGAATGTTGCACGAGCAGAGAGAGAGACGAAATGAGTAAGGGGCGTGTGGGAGGGAGGGAGTGAGCAGGTGAGCAATGGAGGCAGGAAGGGACCTTTGGAGGGGTTTGAAGAGCTAAGGAATCAAGGGAGGAGAACCCATGCATGTCTCTCTACCTGTGCCTGTGCCCGTACCTCTGCCTGTGCCCGCGCTCCTTAAGCCGTGCACGGATGTTCGGGTCGCTCATGGCCACCTTGGTGCGCTCCCTTATCTTCGCACGCACCTCTGCCGCGCCACCCATGGGCATGGGGTGAGAATGAGCGGGGGATGGTGGTGGGGACGAAACAGGGGGGAGAGAGAATAGAGTGGGCGGAAACGGCGGGCAAGGAAGAGAGGGAGAAGTGAGAAAGGGCATGGAGAGGCATGGAAGTATTGTGATGCAAGCTGAACCACACACACAGCCACACACTCAAGCACTTCTCCCACGTGTTTCGTCCCCCTGATTTTCCGCCTCTCCTCTCTCCCGCCCCCCCACCCGCCTCACCGTCACTCCACCGCCGGCCCTTGTTCCACGGCACCCGCCCTCTGTTCGCCTCGCTGATTCTCTCCCGCCGCATCGCCTCCTTGTCCCCCTCCCCTTCCCCCTCACTCTCCTCCCCCCCCTCTCCCCCTCTGATCCCCCCTCCACCTCCGCCTCTTCCGCCTCTCCCGCCTCCCTTTCCACTCTCCACTCCGTTTCACTCCCCTCTCGCTCCTCCCCTCCCGCTTCTGCTCCTGCTGCTGCTCCTGTAGCTGTAGCTGCAGCTTCAGCTGTATCAACGGTCTTCAGAATATCCTCCGGGGGGTGCCCTTCGTTAGTCTCCCCGCCACCCTTCTCCCCGTTATAATCTGCTTCGCTTGCGCGGCCTCTGCACCCTCTCCCGCCTCTCCCCCGCTGCCAGCTGCTCCTAGCGCAGCGCGATACGCGTAGCCCCAGATGCGCGGTCCGTAAGCCGAGCGCGGATGACGATAGGCCGTGCTGGGACACGTGAATGCCACGTCGGAATGACGTGGAGTCGCCGCCTGCGCGGACGCGGAACCGACTTCCACGGGGCCAGTCGGCCGGAAATTCGGGGATTCCGAAGCGTAATGTAAAACGAGCAGCGGGGACGGAGTCAGCCGAGACCAGGAAGGCAGAGAGGGGTGCGGACAAGGGGACGGAGTTACCGCACCACGAAGGATGAAAGGGGTTGCGGGTAGGAACGAGAGGCGAGGACGAGGGCGCGTTAAATAGGAGAATGTGGGGCAGCGCGTGAGATGGCGGGGCTGCCATTGAACGGATAGACGCATGAAACAAGCAGAGAGGCGAGCAGAACAAGCAGAGAGGCGAGCAGAATGACTTGGAATTCGGTGTGGGATGCGCGATTGGCGGTGAAGGTAGAATGCTCTGCCTGAAGGAAGGCTGGCATGTCCGCAACGCTGATGCACCAGTTTCTGCTCGGTTAGAAGCGGTAAATACACCTAAGCGTAACAATGATAATCAGATGTTATTCAAAGGATCTCAAAGGTGGTTGTTGTGGATGAAATATCTTCATGTATGTGCTGGTGGTACCACTGTATGGCCTGGAATCGTTTGTTTCTTACCATGAAAATATAAACCTATATTTTTATCATAATTTATTTCTTCTCCTGGTTCCTTCCTCCGCAACACGGTGAAGTCTCGGGCGCCAGGGGGTTTCCCCCAGGGGCTCGCAGGTGGATCGGCGTGGAAAAGGGGGCCTGGTTTCCTCCTGGAATCCCCAAAAAAATCCTGGTTCCTTACATAAATAAATTGTCTCATGTACACAAAATTGTATGCATGTGGTAAGCGGGTACCTCAGTTATATAAGGACGTTGTACGAAGGTTGTCCAGCACACCATACCTCCCGTCGTGAATTCTTTCATGAGCTCTTAGCGAAGAAAAATTGGTGACAGCTGTGAACGTTAGGGGCGCGCTGCGGTGAAATTCTCTTGTCCTGGAGGATTCGGTGGGAGACGGTCAGCCTTGAAACCCTCCTTCCCAGTTTGTCGAAATATTTTTGTGTGTCCGCCCAACGACACCCCCACACCAGCCCGCCACAACCAACGACCAAAAAACACAACCCAACGGGTCGCGCAATTTTTTCCTTCACTCGCCCGCGCCCGCAAAATATGTCTCGTTGTCCCAACGCCACTCGCATTCCGCACCGCCACCGACGTCACCGTGAATCCGGGAGCGAGATGCTCGTGACGGGGCGCGCGCAATGTGTTGCCTTGCATTCCCTCCCATCCCGATTCCCACCCCCTTGATGTTCGGCACCTCTGAAATTCGCGCCTCTCGATCGACTCGAATGTGACCCCTCGCCCCATCCCCTGCTTGATGTGCCTCCTCACATACCCCATATATTCCCACACCTGCCATACCCATTCAGTGGCAAACATTCCCGCCCCACGATCATACGTACTCTTGACATAGCAAGCCACTCCAGCAGCGTACAACCCCGTGATTAGTCCAGCACTGTGACTGACGGCCTAGCATTCTCCATCTGCTCCTTAACTCTCAGATCCCCTCTGGTCCACCAGAAGCTCGTCAAGATGCACACAGTATCCCAAAGCAGCGGGCCCAAGGCGCCTGTCGTATACGCCTTCTGCGTCACGCTAGTCGTTGGACTCCTGCTCCTCTCGCGCCCCTCGTCGCACCACCATGGCAAGCACAAACACGGCAACCGCCGACGCCTGGACGGCGGGCGAGGCCGGCACGAGCGGGAACCCGGCGAAAAGGTGATTAAACTGCACCGCGCGACGAAAGATGTGAACCCGAAGCTGGACCACATCACGTTCGACCCGCTGGTCGCGGAGATGGAGACGAAGCAGGACGACCACTCGTGGGAGGAGGCGTACTTCCGCGAGCACCACGAGGAGGTGCACGTGCATACAAAAGTGGAGCCCGTCTACAGCGTCGGGCACGGCACGGCGCACGCGGGGCACGAGCACGGGCATGGGGGGAAGCACGCGCAAGGCGGCGGGAACGAGAGCGCGAAACACGGGCACGGGCACGGGCACGGGCACGAGCACGAGCAGGAGCAGGGGTTGGAGCAGGAGGATGGGTATGAGCACGGCGAGGAGGCGGTGGACGAGGAGCTGCAGCATCTGCACGACCACATGGACTCAGGTACGCCGCGCACCGACACACACACCCGGGGAAAGGCCAAGGGGCTCGACGCTGCTGCCTGGCCTGACGTGTCTGCTGGCGCAGCACGGTGCAGCGCGGCGCAGCGCGAAGCACAGGCTAACCAGCGCGAGCCGGCGGCTAGGCTGCCCGCGCAGACTTCCGCACTCGGGGCAGATTTTGACATGTTTGCTTGCTTGCTCTCCACAATCCGCGTGTGATGAATCGATTTTCGAGGCGCCTCAAAAATCGGCAGATTTCGACACGTTTGCTTGCCTACCCACCACGTCCCTCCGCGTTTTTCCAAACCCCGTTGATAATATGAAGTGCGATCGCAGCGCATGTGGGGAGCAGGGTGAACGTGTCGTCGCGCAAATTCTGACATGTCTGCTTCCCTTCCCCACCACCCCCCCTGTGATTCGATACGATACGATACGATTGCAGCGCACGTGGAGAGCAAGGTGAACGTGTCGTCGCGCATCCGCACGCTGTTCCCGCTGATCGACACGGACGAGCGCGACGGGTACATCTCGCTGAACGAGCTCGCCATGTGGCAGGTGCAGCAGGCGCACCGCAGTAGCGCGCACCGCACGCGGCGCGAGATGGAGATCACGGACGCCAACCACGACGGGCTCATCTCGCTCAAGGAGTACCTGCAGGACGACTCGGACGGCGACGAAGGTCAGTCGCCGTTCGCCGCCAAGCGCGCTTCTATAGCCGCACGTTCACGCCCTCGCCTCCCCCCCCTGGAGCTTTTCACCCTCATGTCTCCGTCTCAATACAATCATCCGCATGCTTCTTTCTCTTTTCCTCGCTCCACCGTTCCTCCAACCTCCGGCTCCACTGCACGTGCCGTGCTCATGCGTCTCCTCCGCGCTCCTCCGTTCCCGCGTCCTTCCACCAGCCGGCCTCCCTAACCGTGCGTGCGTCTATGCGCGCCCTCCTTGTGCGCGCTTCCCCGCTTCCCCGTTTCCCCCCGCAGTGGCGTCGGAGTGGGACGAGAGTCTGCTGAGCTTCGTGAACCTGAGCAAGGCGCGGTTCCCCATGGCGGACATGGACGGCGACGGGCAGCTGAACGAGGAGGAGTTCAACGCCTTCCTGCACCCCGAGGACAGCCACAACGAGAATCTCACGCGCTCCGTGCGCGACGAAGAGTTCAAGTGTGTCCGCCGCTCCCTCTGTGTCCCTGTGTATCCCTCTGTATCCCTCTGTGTCCCTCTCTGTGTGCCTGACGTAGTGTAACTCGAATTGTCATGCGACTTTCTCTTGCAGCTCTCTCCTCACCTCCACACGTCCTCTCGAGCTCTCCTCCTCTCTTGTCTGACCTTGTTCCGGGGGGCTCTCTGTCCGCCGCGCTTTTCCGTCATCCCTTGCGGTGCGTGCTGTGCTGTGTGGCGTGCAGGGCGCACGACAAGGACGGCGACGGGCGGCTGAGCTTCGAGGAGTTTTTCGAGAGCGCGTGGGAGGAGGTGAAGGCGTTCGACGACGAGTACGAGAAGTGGGAGGAGCACCGCTTCGCGCCGCACCCCGACACGCTCAAGTTGCCGTCCGAGGGTCATGACCACGGGCACGGGCATGCGCACCATGCGCACGGGCATGACCGGCATAATGCGCATGAGCATGGGCAACATGGGCACCATGGGCACGAGCACGGGCACGTGGAGGAGGAGAAGCCGCTGGAGGTGCGGCGGGAGGAGGCGAGAAGGCGGTTCCAAGACTCGGACTTGAACGACGACGGGTGAGTGCTACTGCTGGGGGGGGGCAGCGTGACACTGCAGTGGGCTCGTTGTGCTGGGAGGGGCGGAACCTGGGACACGTGGAGTGGGAGGAAGGACTGTTGCTGTGGTTGTGAGCAAGGCTTATATTGCCCCGCCCCCGCATTCCCTGTCTGCCCCCCATGGCGTGCAGGTTCGTGGATGTGAACGAGTTCGCCGACAACCTGCTGTACGCGCTGGCGCCCAACGAGTACCACTTCGCCGAGGAACAGGCCAAACACATGCTCACCCAGGTCCGTGCTCCTGCCATGCTCCCTGCCATGCCGCCATGCTCCTGCCATGCTGCCATGCTGCCATGCACACTCCTACGACTCCCTCTCCTCCTCTCTTGCCCCCCTGCCCCACCCCCTCCCCCCTCCCTTTCTTCTGCGTCTTTCTGTCTCGCTCTCTCTGACGATGTGCCTTGTCTCGATGGCGTGCGTGTGTGTGTGTGTGCGTGCGCAGGCGGACGACAACAAGGACAAGCACCTGTCGCTGGACGAGATGCTGCGCAACTGGACGGCCTTCTACGACGTGGTGGAGGAGCACTCCGAGCCGCATGCCGACACACATGCGCACGAGCATGACGATGATGAGAATGAGGATGATGACCATGGGTACCACCATTACGGCCACAATGGGGAGGAGGATGACGAGGACTGGGACGACGATGAGAGCTACAACTATGAGGACGACAATGAGGGGCATGAGGAGTTCCGATAAGAGGAGCAGTATGACTTGGAGCAAAACAAACGCCCCCACCCACCTCCCTCCCCCACTGCCCCTCACCTGCAATTCCTCCACACATACGTATTGCCCCAAGCGCTTGCACCTCTTTATTGAATGAGGCTGGTTCAGGCTGGTTGCGCTGCAGCGGGAACTCCCCAATAAGAAGCTATTAGCCGTACATAGATTAGTTAGCTACTCACCAATAATAGTCCCAGCAGAGTGGTGCCTCCGCTTAGAGGTGCAGCTGCACTCTGGTGCACTCACTTGGATAGCTCACCGTAGGCTTTCAATGTCCAGTGACTAGAATGGTTTGGTTAACATTCAATCAGAATGTCCATTTCAAAAGCCGACTGAGAAGTGAGCAATGACTGCTACAGAGCCTGTTAACAACTTCTGTTACACAAATGCAAATCTCCCTTGAACCATCAAAGGCTCAATGCGAGGGACTTTTCCTCTCAGCAAATCTTCAGCCACGTGCCATGGGTGGCGCGGCGCTTACTGGCGGGAGGGTGTCACGGCTGGCGCCTGGGACAGGGCGCTGGCCGCAGCCGTCCGTGCGCTGGGCCGCCACGGCAGCACGACGGCACGGCGGCACGGCGCCCCAGCAGCACGGCGGCACGATGACATGGCGGCACGGCGTCGCTGAGGCACGGCGGCACGGCTCAGCGTCTCGGCGGTGCAGAGTGACGGGGCCGGCGCGGCGTGACGGGGCTGGCGCGGAATGACGTGGCCAGCGCGGAGGGACGGGCCAGCGGAGAGTGACGGGGCTGGCGTAGAGTGACGGGGCCGGCGCAGAGTGAAGAGGCCCACACGAAGTTACGGGGCCGGCGCGGAGTGAGGGGGGCCAGCACGGCGTAACGGGGCCAGCGTGGATGGACGGGGCCAGCGCGGCGTGACGGGGCCAGAAAGGCGTGACGGGGCCAGCGCGGCATGACGGGGCCAGCGCGGCATGACAGGGGGGAGTACGCTGCGGAAGCGTGAGGACAAGGCCCGAGCGGAAGTGCAATCTGAGTCCATCACCACATGTCCGAGCTCTGCCAAGCTTGTTCCAAATATTCGTACCTAGTTATATCCCAGAGCTGGGTCTGTTTTTATGTTGCAGATTGAGTATTAATTATCCGTTCACAATGCTCAAACTAGATGTTTTGCGCCCATAACCCTTTAGAATACTTCAATTATGTAGCTAGGTGCGACATATACTATTGTGCATCTGGACCTGTCGTGTATTTGCAACCCAATGTCCACCTTTCCCTCTGCTGATGGCGGGATGCATTTGGGTGACGTGGGACCTAAGGGAAATGACCCCAGAACGCATGCAAGGAGGAAATATCCTTCTGCAGAAAATACGTTGCTGCTTTCCACGGTGGCCTTTCCCCTACCCAACGCACTCGCGGCCTTCTATTCGCTGCGACTGAGTGACGTCGACTCGTGAACAGCATGCAGCGAATGAAATGCGCCCATCACGCGAGTAACAGCCAGCACATGCGAGATTCGCGACATGGACCCCCTGACGCAGAGCTCGACCGTTGCCTTTAGTTACATCTGTATCACTTGCCTCTCCTTCCAAAACCCTAACCCCTGGATGTTGCGGCTAGACGGATCTGCTGCAGGCCACCCTTGGGTATGCCCAGCCCTCCCTCCCAACCTGTCACAACTCACGCCCTCTGACATATCGAGGAGGGAAGCTATTTGCAACTGCACTGTCCGCCCTTCGTTGCTGGGGTCAATCCCTTCGTTTTTGTAGAACATATTTCTCGCCTGGGCTTTCTCTTGCACCGCTTTCTATTCGTCCTCTCTTCATCGCGCCTCCTCGCCTCTTTTACGTTCCGTCATAACTCTTCGCACCTGCCTCTCGACTTTCGTTGCTTGGCGTTTCCCGCCATGTCCCAAGTCGGCGCGCGTGTTCGAGGGACCGCCGCCGTTAGCAGCGGTTTCCTAGTCACCAAACATTCCGGCGGCGGTGGGAGAAAGGGCTTCCGCTTACCAGCATGGGCTAGCCAGATCTCCTCGTCTTTCGCGGGGGCGCGCCTCGTATCCTCGTCAAAGCTCCACCCGCTATTATCACACTCGCCCGTCGGCAGAGGCGGGTGGCACAAGAGAGGGCGCGCATATAGTCACCGCCATCGATCGGTGGCGGAGGTTGCGGGGACGGAGGGCGGGGTAATGGAACGATCCGTCGGGCGCTCTCCGTCGAACGGCTCTGTCCGTTCCTCCTCCTCCTCGTCTGCACGTATTCCCGAGTACGACCTCTCTCTCGTTTCGGGCCCGCTCTGCCCAGAACAACCGCAATCTTCGGCGGAAGCGGCTCCATCCACCACCCGCTCCCAGTCACAACAAGACGCGTGGCGCATCGGCAATGCTTCCAACGGCGCAGTTCGAGCCGACGCTACTAACGAGGACAAGGTTTTGGGCGCGGGGGAGAGCACCGGTACCCTAGCGTTGGACGAGGAGGAAGCGGCAGACGGGGGGTTATGGCGGGAGGTGAGCGAAGGCGACTTGCAGCAAGTTCTTGCATCTCTCGAGGACCGTTTTATTGCCGAGCCGGGTGCGTCGCTCGACACTATCGAGGCCAACGCGCGGGTTTTGTTCGCGGTGGGCGCGCGCAGGGGGCAGGTGTTGCGCATCTTCCGCGCGCAGCCGGAGCTGGCGGGGCGGGAGTACGGTGCTGCCGTGCGGGACAAGGCGGAGCTGCTTGCCGCGTTCCGCATCGCGCCCGCCGCGTTCCTCAAAGCGCTCTCGCGGTCGCTCGACTGGCTGGCGACGCCTGCGACGCACGCTGCGACGGTTCTCACGTTTCTCGACCGGGACCTTGGGATCAATAACCTCGCTAGAGTCGTAGCCGTCTGCCCCGACGTCCTCTCTCAACCGATAGACAGGCTATCCGATACAGTCACATTTCTCCGCACGGATCTTTCTCTTGGAGCGGAGGTTGGCGCAGCGCTTGAGCGCAACCCCGCGCTTCTCGGGGCGGGGAACGGCGGAGGGCGCGCGGACGTGGTGCGCAAGCTGGAGGCGCTGCGCTCGTTACTCCGCCTGGACCGCTCCGTCGATGTGCTCCCCCTAGTGCAGCGCTCGCCGCCGCTTCTCTCCGCGAGTGCTGACGTGGCACGCGATACGTACAAGCAGCTCTCCGCAGTGCTCGGCGAGGAAGGCGCTGCGGCAGTCGCTCTTGCCCGGCCGCAGATTCTCGCGCTGTCTGAAACCGCTGTGCGGGAGACGCTGACGCAGATCGCACGGAGGTTCGGTGGTGCCGGACCTGCAGCCTCGGTGCTTGCTTCGGCGAACCCGTCTCTACTTCGGCGGCGGTGGGACAGGACGGCGGGGAAGCTGGAATATGTGACCGAGGTTATGGGGCGCGATATAGCGGAGATCGCGGCGTGGCCCGCGGTGCTGTCGTGCAACCTGCAAACGAGAATTAAGAGGCGTTATGACGCGCTGCAAGCGGCGGGGCTGGGCGCTAAGGAGCCGCTTCGGGTGCTGTTCGGGTGCAGCGACCGCGTGTTCGAGAGGCGGTTCGACGTCGTGCTGCCGAAACCCACCAAGGGGAAGAGGTGAGAGACATGGGAAGAGGTGAGAGACATGGGAAGAGGTGAGAGACATGGGAAGAGGTGAGAGACATGGGAAGAGGTGAGAGACATGGGAAGAGGTGAGAGACATGGGAAGAGGTGAGAGACATGGGAAGAGGTGAGAGACATGGGAAGAGGTGAGAGACATGGGAAGAGGTGAGAGACATGGGAAGAGGTGAGAGACATGGGAAGAGGTGAGAGACATGGGAAGAGGTGAGAGACAGGGGAAGAGGTGAGAGACATGGGAAGAGGTGAGAGACAGGGGAAGAGGTGAGAGACAGGGGAAGAGGTGAGAGACAGGGGAAGAGGTGAGAGACAGGGGAAGAGGTGAGAGACAGGGGAAGAGGTGAGAGACAGGGGAAGAGGTGAGAGACATGGGAAGAGGTGAGAGACAGGGGAAGAGGTGAGAGACAGGGGAAGAGGTGAGAGACAGGGGAAGAGGTGAGAGACAGGGGAAGAGGTGAGAGACACGGAACACGCACGGACAGAAGAGAGCGAGGGGTAGTGGATGGGAGACTTCGGTTGTCTGTGTGGTTGCGTTTGGTGGTAAAAGATGAGGGGCACAAGAGGTGCAGAACCGTGCGGGATGGCGGAAGGGGTGGGGTGTCAGGGGGGTGGTTGGGAGTTGGCGGATGTCGGGTGATGAAGAGTGGGAGGCGTACTGGTTGGGAGATGGGCTGGAATCGTCTGGGGTACAGGAGTGGCGATGGTAGAGGAATGTGGTAAAGCAAAGCATGTCCGCACCACACATTGCCGTCCGCAACATGCCGCATGCCGTGCTCGCGTTCTCTCCATCTCCAAGCACCTTGCTGCATGCCTTCGTTTCACATCCCAGAAACGGAGAGTTCCGCTGTATTGCCCGTGCTTCCCGCCAGCCTAGGACGTCCCGTTTTCTTTTTCCTTTGTCTCTCGTGGCCGCCCTCTGTTGTTCTCAGCCCACGACCCTTCCCCCTTCTCCGTTCATGCTCCCCGTGGATGTACCCTATGCGTGCGCATGGGTCCGTGTCTGCATGTGCGTGCTGTGGCGGGTGATACGTGCGTGTTTGGCTTGCTTGTTGTGCGTGCAGGGGGAGGAAGCCCAAGACATGAGCAGTGAGCACACCAGGCAGACTCGTCAGGTGCCATTTCGGGGTCAACTCACTTAAGTCATAGCATTGCCGTGTTGATCTGCTCATCTGCTGATCTGCTGAGCTGAAGCAAGCTTGTCCCAGCATCTACCTATCTGCTGGGGCTGGATTGCCATGTTTCGTAAACCCTGAGTCCGCTCTTGCTCCGAAATGCCTGGACTTCACATGTGCGGCTTTAGGCCCTTGTAGAGTACCCCTCGCTTACCCCTAATGGCCCAGTTCCCGATGCACATACAAGGGGAGGGACCCAACGACCTGAGACAGTTGGTTAGAAGAGAGGAGGGGTTGACCTTTAAGGGGGTGGAGAAGTTGTCTGGAGGGGGGTGCAGTTCGGTAAAGATCGAGAGCGGGGACCTCTGACAGATTGTAAACCTTGTGGCTCTGTAATTTGGTAGTTGCTGTTCGGCATGCTGCGGATTATGTGGGCACATGCAGGGTCAGCTGCTTCAAGCAAAGGTTGCACCTTGCCATGTACTGTGCTGAGAAATCTGAAGTGGTACCTTGCAACAGGGGGCTGTGCATTTTACTGAACATATGGGAAATCCAAGCCTGTGGGTCAATCTTGTTTACCACGTCCTGTGTCCAGAGGTTCTGTCCTGAAAGTGCATGTCTTGTGTTCTTAAATGTACCTGTAGCACACCCTTCGTTCATCCTGGAAGATTAAACTAGATGTAAAATTGCTGATGTCCATTTTGCAACCGCGAGCTAGTGAAATGGTGGAAGTTCAAGCGTCGGGTTGCCATCGGTGAACTTTCTGCTTTATTTGCACACTTCTATCTTCAGGGCAGTGCATAGACAAGCGGGCTGCCGAATGGTTTGTACCAGAATGTAAGGGTCAATGGATTGCGTTTCATCGTCTCTTTGCCGAAGTATATCCTGACTTCGGAACTCCAATCAATGATGCTAAAACAGACATGCGTGCAGGTTGGCATATGCACCCACGATTATTCTAACTAAAACCTAGAGCTGACCGCGGCTAAGAGCATGCTCAGTTCCCATGCTTGTCTGCCTCTTCGTCCGGCAACCTACCATATACTACTGCCTTGCCATAAAACCCTTGAAACGAAAGGCGTATATCGAGTCCGTCGCGCCGATTCGACCGCCTCGCTCACACGGCAATGTCTACCTCGGGGAAAGGGGGGACATCCGCGACGGGAAGCTCTGCGACTGTTGCGACGCCTGACGACCCCTCTTCCACCACAGCCACGTCAGCAACTGTTAAATCGTCCAACGAGGACTCCGTCACTGGTGATTCGGCAGCGACTTCGGCCTCCTCGGTCTCTGCCACAGGCTCGGGCTCCGAGGCTGGCTCCGGCGTAGGTTCGGGCTCAGGCTCGGTGACGAGGGCTGCCTCGCGGAGAGCTCGGATTTTGTCGAGGACCTTCTTGCGCTCGTCGCCTCCTCTCTCCGACGCAAACGCGGCGTCAGTCGTGACTGCCGACGCCACCAGCGATGCTAGCAAGGCCGAGCCGCTCGTGACGACCGCTCGCCGGGAAATATCCTGCTGTGGTTGTAAAATACAACGATCCAGGAAACGTGAGTTAAAAGGAGCTTCTCAACGTGACATGCAGGAAGATCGGATCGCAACGAGCACGGCGACAGATGGAAGACTTTTCATGAACGAGTGGATATTGGCTGGCAAGAACGAACCTGGCCATCGACGGATGCGGTGACTGTGATCCTCGTGGCGAACACGCGAGTGGACGACCTCGTGGTGAGCTCAGATCGGGAGGAGACAGGCACCCCAAACATGCCACTCAGGGCAATCGCACGAGCAGTCTGGGACGCCATGATCGCGATCTGCCTAAAGTAGCGCTACAATCGAGGCTGCTGTGATCAACTGAAGCGAGCTGAGAAGGAATGAGTACTCGCTTCAGGAAATAAGCGACTAATGGAGGAAGATATGCTACATACGCACTTCAGGAGTCCACAACTTCACAGCAGGTAGAGGCAGATGGGAGGGGTGGATGGATGTGGAGGGAGGCATGAGTGTGTTGAGTGCTAGTGATGTGGCGATGGTGATTGGCCGATTCATCGAATATTTGGTCGATGCGCCACGATGTTTCCGAACATCGGAATTGAGCACACATCGCATGTGATCGCACGGCCGACATCAAAGCTTCGTCTCTGGCTCCGAACGTAAGAGCTATGCCAGCATGGCACGCTTGATTGGTCGTACTAAGGTGTGGCTGCTGACCTGGAAGATGGATGGTGGAAACCAGACGTTCAAACAACCAACCGTTTTCAAATCTCACACGTGTATCACGTCCCCAACCACCAATCGATCTTCAATTCCCGCCAACAAATTGTACGACAAAGCACCATGGCGTAAGGGCGCGTGCGCGTAAAGTGGCAGCGGCGGCTCCGTTCATCCTTTCGTCCGTTCGTTCTGCCCGATGCGTCTTTAGGCTCTCACAAAACTTCTCAGCCTAGACAGAACGAAACCTATTGCAGCATTACTATCTTGCCTACTGTTCGCACATGAAATCGTGAAGAGCGGTGCGAAGCCCAATTGTGTTCCGTCTACAGTCGTGAATGTAGTCGCGAGTTACGTGGTCAGCAGAATTGTCTCATGGGTTGGTGTTCGCAAAATACTGGCGACTTGCCCATCCCTGCCCGCGGGCTGTCACCCAAACGATAAGGTTCTGCAAGCAAAACGGTGTTGCTAGCACTCGAATAGTCAATTGAGCGGAAGCTCCGTTCGTTCGTGTCCTACTCTACACGCGCCCTAAAGTAAACGCAACAATGTGGGGAACAAGCATCTCACCTGGGATGCGTGGATAAATACTATGTTTAGTAAGCAGCACACATCTCATCTCCTTGTTACAAAGGTGTTCGCATACAGCGATGAATTTTTATACTGGAAAACGGAGATGCTTGTTCAGTTCAGCCCATACAAGGTGGTGACGGCAAGGCTCCTCTGTCCTGTTTGCTCGGAAACCGTCTCCCCGTCAGCACAAAAAGGTACAGAAGATATTTTCTCTGTGCCCAGTCCAGGTGGCTCCAAACTGAAACCCAAAGCCCCGAAGAGGAATCCCATTTCGCCCTGGCGGCGGGGCAACGGATTTTTCATTCGCACAACCTCATTATGCGGAGAACCAAGAAGAGCATAGTCGCACCACCGTTGAGAAAACCAATCATAACAAAACCCGCCTTCCCAAACCCTTCGCCCTGCACCAAGCCGAAGTGGCCGAGGTCCGTTCAGCGACAGGCTTGGAGCGATTTTCTTCCCGAGTTACCACTGCAGACGTTCGCCAACGCCCCTGCCAGCTCTGACCCTCAGCTTGTCTGACTTGGCGCCTGAGCTTTGTGTGTTGCTCAAGTATAATGGTCTAGTCAGTCAGTCAGTCCAACTCCCTTTCACGAGTTGATTTTTTCTGTCAGCTCGTTTTCTGCGTCAAACCACCTGCTTTCTTCCTGCTGCTGTCAGCGCAGAAACTATGGCTAAAGCGGACGCGAAGAAGGTGAATGATGTGACATTGTTTTTTGGTTGCTTGCTGGCTCTTCGTTGCTCATTTGCGGTTCTAAACTCCTTACGTGCTTGTTTTAAACCCTTTTTCATTTGCCATCAGGTTGTGAAATCAGCAGAAAAAAGTAAAGGTCAGTGGTGATACACGCTCCCTTTCCTCCGTTACATGTTTGCAATAGGGACACCGATGCTGAACGTTGTGTCTGTTTTTTCTTGCTTTCTTTCTTTGTATTTCTCTTTTTTCTTTCTCTGGGCGTGCAGTGAAGAGAGCTCGCGATGATACGGCTGCGGAGGAGCCAGCCAAGGCCACGGCGCCGGCTAAGAAGGTGAAGAAGGCCGAGGCGTCACCCGCAGCCAAGGCCGTCGCGAAGAAGGTGGAGAAGACGGCCGCTCCAGTGCCCAAGAAGGCTGCTGCTCCCAAGGTCAGCTCACTGCAACCTGCGCTCCGTCGCTTCTCTATTCTTTAAAACCATCCCGCTTTCCTCCATTTTGGGCCTGGCGTCCGTTTCGTTTCGTTTTTCCTCCGTCAGTTTATCGCAATTGGCCTAGTTCTAACCGGCAGCCGTCACCCGGTTTGCGAATTGCAGGCGGCAGCGAAGCCTGCAGCTAAGCCTGCCGGCAAGGCGGCAGCGAAGAAGCCGCCGCCCAAGAAGGCCGCTAAGGAGAGCAGCGAGAGTGACGAGGAGGACGAGAGCGAGAGCGAGGAGGAGCCCGCTGCCGTTAAAGCCCCTGCTAAGCCCGCTGCTGCTAAGGTGCTGTTCCTTTCTTTCTGGTCTCCTGTGACGGTTCATAGCGTCGCGTAAGCCCCGTCGCCAGTTGTTTCTTTGCGTCGTCTAATGCATGTGGTTTTGCGCATTTGTTCGGGTTTATGCAGCCTGCTGACGACGATGACGAGAGCGACGAGGACTCTGACGAGGAGTCGTCAGAGGAGGAGGCTCCAGCAGCCAAGGTGCGAGGGATTATACAGGGTTTTGCGATGTATTTTCTACAGCCTTGGGGTTTTCGTGACGAGGGGTCTAACAAAAACAAGTCGGTCCGGGTTTTCGTCTAGGGTTCTCCTCAAATGATATGGATCGGGGTTTATCCTCTAGATAGAGCGTACAGGCTTGTAGGTCTTTATTATTTAATTTACCGTTGCCTTCTAATCTGTGCGGTTCATGCAGGCTCCTGCAGCGGCTGCTGCTGTTGCCGCTAAGGACGACGATGACGAGAGCGACGAAGACGACGAGGACGAGTCGTCGGAGGAGGAAGCGAAGCCGGCTGCTGCCGCCGCTGCTGTGAACGGCGCGAAGCCCATGGAAGAGGACAGCGACGACGAGGACGATAGCGAGGAGTCGAGCGAGGAGGAGAAGAAGGCAGCGGCGGCGGCGGCGAAGAAGCCGCCCGCGAAGGCTGAGGAGAGTGACGAGGAGGATGATAGCGAGGACGAGGATGAGAGCGACGAGGAGGACGACGAGAAGGAGAAGGCTGCTGCGGCCAAGAAGGCGCCTGCTGCTGCCACGGCTGACGACGATGACGACGACGATGATGATGACGAGGAGAGCGACGAGGAGGATGATGACGAGGAGGAGAAGCCTGCCAAGAAGGTGAAGGCCGAGGTGAGCTGTGACTGGGGAGTTCGGGGTTTAGCTGGCGAGTACGGCAATTCATGAACGACCCGTTGCTTAAACTGATGCATGCAGTAGTTAATATTCAAGTCTCACACACTAGGGTTTTTGCTCGCTCTCCCTCTCTCGATCTCCCTCTGTCTCCTCCCGTTCGGTTTTTCACCGTGCCGTTGCGACTGTGGCTCTCCCCGTTACAAGCTCTCTCGCCGCGCTAACGCTCCGTGCACCGCCCCTCCGCCCCATCCCTCCGTGCCACCCCTGTCGCGCAGACCCCTGTGAAGGCAACCGCGCCCGCCGCCAAGGCGGCGCCGTCGACGCCGCAGACTCCGGGCGGCGAGGAGAGCACGACTGTGTTCGTGAAGAACCTGCCGTTCGCCGCCGACCAGGACACCATGTAATGCGCGCGCCCTCGCCCTCGCTTTCGCCCCCGCCCTCGCCCTCGCCCCCGCCCCCGCCCTCGCCCTCGCCCTCGCCCTGCCTCTGCTCCAGCCCCTCGAGTGCCGCTCGTTCCTGTAGACCCTTTACCTTTCCGACGGTTCCGCTGAGCGTCCTTTGCCTATGGTCCTTCCACCTCCTGCCGTCTCGGTCGTCACTGCCCCCCCTCGCTCTAATATGCCCTTGTCCGCGCCCTCCTCCGTCCGCTCTGACCCTTCCCCCTCCCGCGCGCAGCGCGGAGTTCTTTGCGGAGTGCGGCGAGGTGGCGGACGTGCGTATCGCCATGGACAAGGAGACGGGCCGGGCCCGCGGCTTCTGCCACGTGGAGTTCGCCACCGCCGAGGGCGCGCAGAAGGTGAGAACCGCTCAAAGCCGCTCAATGCCACTCAGCCACTCTGAGACACGCAAGACGCACTCCAGAGGCAGTCAGGCGGACCCCCGTGTCACGCGACCACAGCGCAGTCGGCTCTGCGGAGTGCCGTTGAAGCGCGGAACCCTGCGCACTAAATGTCGCTCCGATGGTCGAATCCGCGTTCCTGCGTAAACCCCTCCTGTCTGTGGCTTGGATGCTGGATCGTCACCGCCTTGTTTCTTCCCTCCCCCTCTCTTCTTCCCCTCTCTTGTTCCTCTCCCGCTCTTCCCCCTCCCCCAGGCGCTTGAGAAGAGCGGGCAGGAGCTGATGGGGCGTGCGCTCTTCTGCGACATTGCAGGTGGCGCAGGTGGCGCAGGCGGAGCGCGTGGCGGGCGCACTCCGCAGTCTGGCGGCGGGCGATTGTGAGTGCGGGTGCTGATCGGGGTGGAGATCTTGGGTGGGGGGATGTGAGAGGTGTGAGGAATGGCCCTCATCCAGGCACTCGTGATATGGCGCGGAAATAATGCTCCTGGGGGCTGGGCTCATGTACGTGGACACTTTAGCGGGCGGCTCCTGTGCTTGCGCCTGTGCATGCATTATGTGGGCGCCGCCTGCGAATGCATTGTGAATGAACCTGCATATTTTCCCTTTGTTTGCGCTTCTTTCCACATCGCAGTGGCGGCCGCGGTGGCGGTGGGTTTGGCGGCGGTGGCGGAGGGTTCGAGCGCGCGCCGCGCGACGACAGCAACACGGTGTTTGTGAAGAACTTTGACCGCTACCAGGATGAGGACACAGTGAGACACGCGGCAGGGGGGACGGACGGAGGGGGGGAATGTTGAGGTTGTGTGTGTGGGTGGGCGGTGTGATGGCAGTGATTCAGCTGCTAGCTGGCTCGCAGTTGAATAGTTTTGCCTGCTTTCACAATCACAGCATGGGAAGACACCTCCAGATTCGCTGTTTTGCTGCACATCCGTCTCTATCCGCCATTCTCATCTTTCGCTCCTGCGTGTGTGTGTGCGTGTGTGTCCCTCTGCCACGGTACGCTGATTGTGGATCCGTGCTCTCATCAGATCCGCGGGCAGCTTTCGGAGGTGTTTGGCGACTGTGGCAACGTCGTGGGAGTGCGCATCCCCACCGACCGGGAGACAGGCGGTATCAAGGGGTGAGTCACCAGCAAACCATGCCTTGTGTGTTGGCTGTGCACGGTCCTCCCCCCCCTCCCCCCTTCCCCTCTTTTGTTCACTGTAGTCTTCCCTGTGTTGGTCCTCTGCTGCCGTTCACCTCTGCTCATGTCCCTGTCCTCCCCTCCCTTCCTCCCTTCCCCCACAGCTTTGCGTTTGTGCAATTTGACTCGGCGGAGGCAGTGGCCAAGGCGGGCGAGCTCAATGGCACTGACTGCGGCGGCCGCTCGCTCGTCGTCGATGCTTCTGCTGGGGGTGGTGGAGGCGGCGGTGGCGGCAGGGGCGGTGACAGGGGCGGGTTCAGGGGGCGGGGCGACCGGGGCGGCGGCTTCAGAGGAGGCAGGGGTGGCGACAGGGGGGGCTTCCGGGGCCGGGGTGACAGGGGAGGTGAGCCAGGGGAAAAGGTGCTGAATATAGAGGATTGTGCGAAAGCAGGGTCAGGAGGGTGGGTTGAGGCTTTGTGCTGGACCCTGGTGTCCGACCATGGATGGGTTTTGGTTTTGTTCACTATTCCAATGTCGCCTCGTCACCGCGTGCCCTTTGTATCTCTGTCGCTGTGCGTGTGCAGGTCGGGGTGGTCGTGGCCCACCACGTGCCAAGATCAACCTTGCTGCGCCAGGCACAGGTATGCTGAGTAAAATGCATGCTGCTGTCTCTCACAACTGTGGAGCTCTGCTGCACGCATTGCCGTTGTTTCCCCCTTCACTTCTGCTGTCCATGTCATGTGCTGGCCCTAGACGCTCCGACACAGAACCCATCAGTGTTTACCTGTGTCGTGTCATGGCACCCTGCAGTGGTCTGTCTTCTGCGTGTGGATCACTGTCTGGCTCACATGCACCTCTTCTCTTCCTGCCTCTCCTTTCCCCACTTGTCTGCCTGTCTCAGGCAAGAAGACAACCTTCGACGATTGAGCTTGGTGCCCTGCACTAAAGCGGTGCCCCCTTGTATTTGGGGGCTCGTGCTCCTGCTGCCTACTCGTGTGCACGCATGCTTGCGAGACCCATGCTGCTGAAGTCCCCCTGCCCATGCGATGCACGGCCAGTTCCCCTTGCTGATTCGTGTGTGCTGCGGCTTAGTTGCTTCTGTAGGTTCTGATGGTTGCTGAACAGTAATGGCCTCTTGGTTGAGCCTGCTCTTCCCTTGTTAGCCTAATAGTACTGTTTTCACGAATGGGTTCTTTCATCCTCTAACGGTACAATTGCTGTCTACAAGGTACAACCCTATATAGTCTATGGCAATATGCAATGTATGTTTGACACAACCCCTAGACTGGATAGGGGCAGTGCCTGATGAGAGAAGCAGCTCAGGGTGGCACTACTAGTCCAGCCTCTGGTAGGGGTCTAAAGACCAGTCAAACGAGTACAGACAAGGTCTATACCAGAGCCTGAAATTGGTTTTAAGGTACCCTGATTGCTCAGGGTCCCCCCCCCATGATTACCCTGATTTTTCAGGCCTCCCAAAAAAACACCCGCTGAGAAATCAGGGTTACTTCAGAATTTCATGCTGATTTGGCGAAAATTGGGAGATGGGCAAACCGACATTCGGGGAGGGCAGGGATGGGACAAAGTGGGGGGGGCGGAGGGGGGGGGGGGGGTAAATGGAGGGAGAGAGGATTCCCGCGGGAATCATGATGATGTTGAAGCCATCAATTTTTGTGGCGACACTTTCACGAAGCTGCGGCCAATCAATTTTCGCAGATCGATCCAATCGCATAGCTGAGCAAGATTGCAGGGGCGGGAGGAGGAAATCTCGGCCTCACAAAGCCAAGCCAACACACGCCCTATGTGTGCCTCATGCCAACTTATACATATAAGCTATGTAGAAGTTATAGGCTAGACTGAGGTATGCTTCTAGTGAGTACAACCAACTAGTATTTGTTCTAGGTTTCCACTTCTAGTCTATCATTCAGTTCTCACTTTAACATGGTATCACGCGTAGGTTAGAATCCCCCACCTACCGCTTCCGCCCGTACCCTAGCTAGGCCCCGCCGCGCCCCCCCCCCTGGGGCCCCGTCGCGCCTCCTAGCCCCGTCGCGCCCCTCCTGGGCCCCGTCGCGCCCCCTAGCCCCGTCGCGCCCCTCCTGGGCCCCGTCGAGCCTCCTAGCCCAGTCGTGCCCCTCCTAGGCCCTGTCGCGCCCCTCCTGGGCCCCGTCGCACCTCCTAGCCCCGTCGCGCCCCTCCTGGACCCCGTCACGCCCCCCTAGCCCCGTCGCGCCCCTCCTGGGCCCCGTCGCGCCCCCTAGCCCAGTCGCGCCCCTCCTGGGCCCCGTCGCGCCCCCTAGCCCAGTCGCGCCCCTCCTGGGCCCCGTCACGCCCCTCCTGGGCCCCGTCGCGCCCCCTAGCCCCGTCGCGCCCCTCCTAGGCACCGTCGCGCCCCCTAGCCCAGTCGCGCCCCTCCTGGGCCCCGTCGCGCCCCCTAGCCCAGTCGCGCCCCTTCTGGGCCCCGTCGCGCCCCTCCTGGGCCCCGTCACGCCTCCTAGCCCTGTCGCGCCCCGTCGCGCCTCCTAGCCTTGTCGCGCCCCTCCTGGGCCCCGTCGCGCCCTGCCTGGCCCCGTCGCGCCCTGCCTGGCCCCGTTGCGCCCGCCTGGCCCCGTCGCGCCCTGCCTAGCCCCGCCGCGCCCTGTCTGGCCCCATCGCGCCTGCCTGGCCCCTCCGCGCCTGCCTGGCCCCGCCGCGCCTCCCTGGCCCCGCCGCACCTGCCTGGCCCCGCCGCGCCTGTCTGGCCCCGTCGTGCCTGCCTGGCCCCTCCGCGCCTGCCTCGCCCTGCCGCGCTCGCCTGGCCTCGCCGCGCCTGCCTGGCCCCGCCGCGCCTGCCTGGCCCCACCGCGCCTGCCTGGCCCCACCGCACCTGCCTGGCCCCTCCGCGCCTGCCTGGCCCCGCCGCGCCTGCCTGGCCCCACCGCGCCTGCCTGGCCCCGCCGCACCTGCCTGGCCCCTCCGCGCCTGCCTGGCCCCGCCGCGCCTGCCTGGCCCCGCCGCGTCTGCCTGGCCCCGCCGCGTCTGCCTGGCCTCTCCCTCTGCCCGCCCGGCCCATCTTCGTGCCTGCTCGTCCTGCCGTGCCGCCTCAGGTTCCGTCTACTCTGCTCGCCGGTGCTGGGGCGCCTCGCGGCCGCCGTGCTGGAGAGTGCTATCGCCGTGTCCCTGCGTCGCTGTGTTCCTGTGGAGCTGTGCAGCTGACCCTGCACGATGGCTGACTTCGTGCTCCGACTGGACGCCGAGGGCCATGCGGTTGACTTCGCCGCCTGGCTCTCCGATCTCCGCCGCCACCTTACAGGTCAGCGCCAGGATGGCCACTCTTTGGTTGTCCATGTCGATGGCTTGCTCCCCCGCCCCCCCGCACCTGCTCCCCTCCCTGCTGACCCCTCCTCTGATGACCGTGAGACCTTCTCTACTGCTGCGCTTGCCCGTGCGGTCTGGGACTCCCGCGATGCAGTCGCTCAGGTTGCTATTAGCCACGCCCTCCCTATGTCTGAGCGCTTGCGCTTTGCTAATATTGAGACGGCCAAAGCTTACTTAGACGCCGTTATTGCTCGCTATTCCACACCCGCGTCTGCTTCTGCTGGCCGCCTGCTCTTCCCTAGACCTTGCAGCCTTCCCTACCGTCGCAGACTTTGCCACTCACCTGCGTGCCCTAGAGACCCGCTATCACACTGCCAGCAGTGCTGCCCAGCTCACTGCGCTCCCCCCCCCTTTCTGCATGACGCTCTATTTTATCGCCATGCGCCTGCCAGACCGCCTCGCTAGTGCTCGCGACCACTTCCTTAGCCAGCACCCGGGTGACCTCACCCTCACCGCCTTTGTCGATACCCTTACCGAGATCGAGACTCGCCAGCGCACTATCGCTCAGTCGAGCGGTGCGCCAGCAGTCTCTATCTTTCACGGTTGTGCCCCCTCCCAGTGCACGTTCACTGACGTTTCGGCTGCGGTCGCCACGGCGACCCCTCTCACCGAGACGGCTGCTGCGGTCCACCCGCAGTTGCGCTCGCGCCGCGGTGGCCGTGGTCACCAGGGAGGTAGGGGTGGTGGCGCAGGTGGAGGTGGTGGTGGTGGTGGTGGTGACGGTAGTCCGCCTGCGGGGACTACCACTGGTGGGCAGGAGCAGCAGCCCCAGCCGCAGAAGGAGCAGCCCTAGCCGCAGCCGCCGCCCCAGCAGCAGCCGCCGTCTCAGCAGCAGTCGCTGCAGCAGTGGGCCCGTCTCCCGGCTGGCTGGCCCGGCACCTCCGGAGGTAGTGGCCGTTGTGGTGGCCCGCGCAGCTTGGTGTCTACCGGCGGCTCCGGTGCTGTTACCTGCCAGTACCAGCTTCAGACCGGGCCTCTTCGCGGCACTCTGTACCTCCGCCCGCACCCGACCGCCCGCTGTTTCCGCCGCCTCGACGATCTCTTTCGTCGTCGCTTTGGCCCGGCCCCGAACCTCCCCGACTGGCACAGCCTGCTCCGCCAGGGCGTGCCAATCTTTGAGTTAGACATGGATCAGATAGGTGCTGCTTTGCATGCTTTGTATGCTGACGCTTCTAGTGTTGCTGGATCCTATTACCCTGTGTACTCTAGTTTAGGTGTTGCACCATTGTGTAGCTTAGCCTCCCCTGCTGCGTCAGGCGTAAGACTGCCTAGGTTGTCTAGTCTAGTCGCTGCACCAGCTCCATCCCCGGCCTCCGCCACTGCCTCATTGTCCTTCACTCTCGACTCCGGTGCTTCTGCCTGCTTCTTCCGCGACCGTTCCACGCACACGCCGCTTGCTGCGCCTGCTGTTGTCTCTCTCGTTGACCCCTCTACGGGTCCTGTCGTCGCTCGCAGTTCTACGTCCCTTCCCTGTCCAGCAGTTCCCTTGGGCTCCCTTACAGGCCTCCACGTTCCCTCGTTCTCGAGGAACCTGGTTGGTGTCGGCTGTCTCCAGGACCTCGGCGTCACCACCACGTTCCCCGGGCATGAGTGGCTCGCTGTCTGTTCTGAGGTTGTCTCAGGTTCTCCCCTTCCGACGTTCCCCCGGGACCCGGTGTCTGGTCTGTTTACCCTAGACACCGCTTCCCCCCCGGTTGGTGCGTCCTCCCAGGTCGCTGCAGCTTGCTCGTGTCGGTCCCTCACTCACCCGTCACTTCTCTGGCACCACCGCTTAGGTCACCGTGCTCTCCCGCGTCTGCGTCACATGTCCTAGCACGGTCTTGTCTTAGGTCTCCCCGCGTCGCCCCCTGCCCTTCCTCAATCGACTGCGCCACCGTGCACGCCTTGCGTCGAGGGTCGGCTCCGCCATGCTCCTCACTCCTCCTCGCTGCGCCCTGCTACTGCCCCCCTTCAGACCCTGCACCTGGACGTTTGGGGCCCTGCCCCCGTCCCGGACCGCGCGGTGAGCGCTACTTCCTTGTGCTCGTCGACGACTACACGCGCTACACCATGGTGTTTCCCCTGGAGCGGAAGGCCGACGTGCCCGACGTTCTTCTCCCGTGGGTTGTGGCTGCGCGTCTTCACCGCGGTCTCCCCGTATTGTGTCTCCACTCTGGCCGTGGCGACGAGTTCGCCTCTGGTCGGCTTGGACAGTTCTGTCGTGCGGAGGGCATCACCCTGTCGTACACCTTGCCGGACTCGCTACAGCAGAATGGGGTTGCTGAGCGCCGCATCGGCTTGGTCATGGAGGTTGCTCGTACCTCCATGATTCATGCCAATGCCCCCCATTTTCTGTGGCCGTTCGCTGTTCGCTACGTTGCTCACCAGGTTAACTTGTGGCCACTCTCCCAGTGGCCGCAGGTTTCGCCGACCCTCCTTTGGACCAGGTCCCCCGGTGACGCGTCTGCGTTCCACGTCTGGGGCTGCCTTGCTCACGTTCGTGCCTCTGGCACGGACAAGCTCACTGCACGCACTGTCCCCTGTGTCTTCCTTGGTTTTCCCCTGGACTCGTCTGACTGGCTTTTCTATCACCCGCCGTCTCACCGCTTCCTCCACTCTCGTGACGTCACCTTTGACGAGTCTGTCTCCTTCTAACGTCGCTTCCCTCACCGAGGTCTCCCAATTGCCCCGCCCCTGTTCCTGGCTCCCTCTCCCCCGGTAGCCCCTGCTCCTCTCCCGCCTCGTCCTGCCCCGTCTGGTGTCTCTCAGGTCACTCCCCTCCCGTCGGTTGTCCCCGTTGAGGAGTCTGCTGACTCTGGTAGTCCCCCCGGCCCGTCCCTGCCGCGTCCCCCTTCCCCGGTGTCTCCGCCTTCCCTGCCGCAGTCGCCGTCGCCGCCGCCGCCGCTGCCGTCGCAGTCGCAGTCACT